TTTTTGTTTTGGTCTTCGGGAAGAAAATAGAAGGAAAATGATGAAGGGCGGTGGTGACGGGTGGTGAGAAATCCACAGGATTATTTAAAGTTTGCTCAGACGACAAGTATATGTTGAATATATAGACAGTAGATTTTTAATTTATAGACATTGTACGTCGGGATTATTTAGAGTTTGCACGTATATGTTGAGTATATAGACAATATATTTTCAGTTTATAAACATTTTATGTCGGGATTATTTACAATTGGCTCACACGGCACATATATGTTGACTATGTAGACATTATATTTTTAGTTTATAGACATTTTATGTTTTTAGTATGCATTTCTTTTGATTTTTTTTCACAATAAGTAACTTGTTATAATTTGTGTATAAATCTATATATATACTTTTTGTTAATGGATGTTTGTTTTTTATGTTTTCAATGTTTTATCTATAGTTTATGTTTAGTATATCAGAAGATTTTTTTGTTGAAAACGAATTCGACAGAACATAAACTGATTTGTTTTTTGTGTATATGTACGGTTTATACTCAGTATACTTTCGGTATATGATAAAGAAATTTATCGTGAGACATAATTTTTATATTCAGCATAAAAAGATTTTCATATTCAGTTTATATTCAGCATAAACTGATTTTTTTTTGTTGTTATGTATATGTATGGTTTATATTAATTAAATTGTTATAATATGTTTATAAACTTTTATGTATATATATATATATATACTTTTATGTATAAAAGTAAAAAAAAACAGGAAGACATAATTTTTTGATGGAAGACATTTTTTTCATTGCAACATATACTGAATATATATTAACATAAACCCAATATATACCACCTGACAGCTGCGTGAATTCAAGTTGCGCGAATTAATGAATTAAATAAGTCAGTTATTTATTTTTATTTCTGTCTCTTAATTATGCCCATAAAAAGGGGGATGGAGGTGGGACGAATATGGTAACTGACTTTAAGCATTAATATAGATAAATAAGGTCTTTTAGGTAGAAACATAATTATTTCAACTTCTATGATAAAGTTACAATTAATTTAAAATCACATAGCATAAATAAAAATTTTCCGATATTAACAGATCAGTATGATAATGGCAATATGTGTATGTTTGTTTTGAACTTTTTTAATGTATATTGATTCTTTGTGTTAATCACACAATTGCAGGATATAGGTGATTCAGTCACGAGCTGAGTATTAATAAATACAAATAAATACAAATTTATTAATAATCACTGATTATTAAATCCCAGAGGGAGGCCCTGATAAATTCTATCCATCACTGATTATTAGGTGAAATTACAACTTCTCTTTCTCACTATTAATTGAAAATCTCATCTTCCAACATCCCTGTCTTCCTTGTTACTTTTTCAAAAAGAAATAAATGGAAAGGAAGATGACCAAGACACAAATATATTATTATAACCTACAAGTATATTGATATGAATTAAGTCAACAAGAAGTCATTTCACATGGATTCAAAAAATTTGGGTGATTACTGAAATTACTCTCACAATCTAATTAAGAATCCAAATAAGTCCCTCCTTCCCTAACGTACTCCAAATACCTCGAGAACTCCGGCTTAGCTGTCGCCTTCTTCTTCCGCCCGGTCTCGAAAAGACTAAAGAAAGGATGAATTTTGCTTGTCTTCTTAACCTTCTCCTTTTCTTTTTGGGAATGAGTTTTGTCACGAGCAGTTACGCTTTTAAGCTTTTTAGAGCAACTCATAAGGATTTTGGCTGGCGTGCTCTTTGCTCGGCTCAGCTTAGGCACCAAAGCTGCACTCATGGCATCGTCGTGTAATGACTCGTAGCCATGTCGGTTTCTTCTCGCGCTTAGGGCCCTGAACATTTTATTGGAAAATTGGATTTATAGATTTTACAGTGAATAGTAGAATTGTGGTTATTTTGGGTTTTGAAAAGGGAAAGATGGAGAGGTTGGTTAAAGATGGTGTGATTNGTGGTAATGGTTGGACTTATTAGTCATGTATGATGAATATATGATGGCAGTGTTGATTTTCTTTGGTACTTTGCTTGGAATTTGTTTGCATGCGGTTGTGAGGTCTTTGGAGTATAGTCACTTGGGATCTTCAATTGCAATTTCATAGATTTTGTTCACATTTGAAATCCAGGGTTAAAATTATGATTCTTGCCAGCTAGGTGTGTTTTAAGTTTTAAAGCAATTGACAAATAGAGAAAAATAAAAATGGTGAAACAATTGACAACAAAGCTATGTGTTTTTAAAGTTTAATTTTCTTAATCTTTTTTCTCAAGAAAAAGGTTATTGTAAGTTGTAACATGTTTAATGGTTAGTTGGATATTTATATATACTTTTTTTTAATAGATGTACATATTTTAAAATTTAAATACCATATTTTCAAAAATAATATAAATGGAAGTATAAGTTTTCATAGCATATAGTATCCCCTCTTTAATATAATTTGAAAACGTGTTGAGCCTAAATGGCTGCTTCGCACGCTCCGGAAGCTTACTTGACAACATTACATGCTTCGGCTTTTGGTTCGGGTACATTCCCTAATTGTTTAAAATAAAATACTTAATAAATAGGATTCTTATATGTCGTGTAAATCCTCCAACTCCAAATTAAATAGGATTTTTTTGGTTTGGACACATTCCCTAATTCTTTAAAATAAAATACTTAATAAATAGGATTATGTCGTGTAAATCCTCCAACTCCAAATTAAATAGGATTCTTTATCTTATCCCCTCTATATATAATTTCAGAATGCGCTGAGCCTACGTGGAAAATTCTCATACTTCGGAATCCTATTTGGCAAAAAATCATGCTTTGGAATTAAGTTTAGATATAAATTAATATTTGTACTAATTGTATCTTAATATCATTTCCTATTATAACCATTAAATTTGCAAATATATTTTAAAAGTTGATACGTTTTGTATTTCTTATCGGTTTTACATATATAATATATCAAATTAATCATCTTTTGATGAGCTTCGATTTGACATCCATATTATATATATAAAATAAATAAATTATATTTATATTTATAATAATAATAAAATTATTTATTAAAATTAATTAGAAAATAAAATTATTTATTAATTAATATATTTATATTTAATGTAGTTATATGTTATAAGGTAGAAAATTTATTATAATATAACACATATAAGTCGCACAAGTAACATGTGTCATACTAAAACATATAATAATATATACTCCCTCCTATTTTTATTATTTGTCGCTTTGGCTTAATTGATCATTGATAAAATTAAAGTAATAATAATTAGTATGTATTAGTTTAAAAATGATATTCATTTCAAATCTAATTGATATGTTGTCAATGTAATAAAAATAAATAATTATTATATAAATTCTAAAATTACATATACAATTAAAAAAACTGTGAAGCACAACTGATACGACACTTGATGTATTATGCATCTAATTAAGTAAAAAAAATTATTCTATTTTGCTTAATATTAAACAAACATATTCTACACTTATGAATATACATATCACCATAATATTTCTATTTATTTAAGATATATATTTTTGTACTTATGTAATAATAAATAATATCGATATTTTTATATGATATAAGTAAAAAATTAAACACCGGGTTGGCATTTTCATTTAATGTACGGGTGTTTAATTATTATGATTAAAAAAATATAATTTGACAATTTAATTAAAACCCAAAGTAATGTTTTATATAAAATTAAATTATTTTAGTTTTTAAAAAAATAAAAAATTTAATATTTTTTACAAAAGTTTTCTAATTCATCATAATTTGAAAACGTGCTGAGCCTGCTTCGCACGCTTCGGAAGCTTACTTGGCAACATTACATGCTTCGGCTTTTGGTTCGGATATATTCCCTAATTGTTTAAAATAAAATACTCAATAAATAGGATTCGTGTAAATTCTCCAACTCCAAATTAAATAGGATTTTTTTGGTTCGGATACATTCCCTAATTGTTTAAAATAAAATACTTAATAAATATGATTCTTATATGTTGTGTAAATCCTCCAATTCCAAATTAAATAGGATTCTTTATCTTATAAGGCTTCCCAAATAAATAGGATTCTTATATGCCGTGTAAATCCTCCAACTCCAAATTCTCATCGTATAAAGCTTATTTGACAACATTACATTTTAAGATTCTTATCTTGTCGTGTAAACCAGAATAAAAAAAAATTAGCTTTATAAAATATATTATTAATATAATTAATGTAAATAATAAATTTTTTATATAGTTTAAATTAAAAAAAAAATATATAGCCACTTTCATATTATATCTTTTCAATATATGCCGTGTAAATCCTCCAACTCCAAATTTTTATCGTGCAACATTACATCTTAGGATTCTTACTTGACAACATTATATCTTAAGATTCTTATCTTGTCGTGTAAACCAAAATAAAAAAATTTAGCTTTATATATTATTTTATTTATATAATTAATGTAAATAATAACTTTTTTATATAGTTTAAATTAAAAAAATAATACTATAATTTTACAAAAAAAATATATAGCCACTTGCATATTATATCTTTTCAATATATGCTGTGTAAATCCTCCAACTCCAAATTTTTATCGTGCAACATTACATCTTAGGATTCTAAATTTTTATCGTGCAACATTACATCTTAGGATTCTTATCTTGTTGTGTAAACCAAAAGAAAAAAATTTAGCTTTATATATTATTTTATTTATATAATTAATGTAAACAATAACTTTTTTATATAGTTTAAATTAAAAAAATACTATAATTTTACAAAAAATATATAGCCACTTGCATATTATATCTTTCCAATCCAACCATAAATAAATTATTTAAATCTTTTTAGAATATTTATAAAAATACATTGAAATAGTTATAGAATATTATATGATCTTTCTAATATATTTTAAAGAGTTGAAATAGTTATACAACAACATATGTGTTTTGTCTATTATTTTATGTTTTATATTTTTTTTCAAACAACCCGTATAGTACACGGGTGTCGTACTAGTGTATTATTGTTACAAAAAACTGACGGGTCGATTTTAGGCCTTTAACAAGAATTTGTGTCATTATATTGACTTAGTATAATGGGCAAAAGGAGTACTTTATTGGTCTTTGTATTGAATGAATTTTACTATTAGGAATTTGATATATCACATATGAATGAATTTAGCTATATAGATAATGGAAACTTATATTCAGAATCGAAGTTAGTATTAAATGAATTTTACTAATGGAGATCTACTTTTATATAAAAACAATGTAAGTTCGTGAAAATTTGATATTTATTTTCACTAGTAGGATTTTTTTATTTTATTTTTTCGAAACTATAGACACTAGTAAGATTAAAATTATAATTTTATTATACAAAGGGGACTAAGTGTAAAAAGATATCAATTTGAAGAAATAATTCTCAAAGGAGTGTTAAATAAAAGTAGACATGGCAAAGGGTCGACCCGACCCGGAATCGGACCCTTAGCCCTTAAGGGCCGGTTTCGGGCCTTAATTTTCTATTTTGACCCGCCAGTCCCGAGTAGAAAGGCGAGTCATAGTTGATTTTATTATTTTTATTTTTTTTAATAAAAAACCGGCTGTTCAATGAACAACCGGGTTGGGCCGGTTCCGTGCCCTGCATTTGAGGCCCGCCGACCCACCGGGCCGGGCCGGATCGTGAACTGGTCAGACCTTTGGACACGTCTAGATAACGGACAAAAATACTAATTTATTCCTATTTTCATTTATTGAAAAAAATATAAAAACTAAATAAAAATATATATCAGCATCCCGATGACATTTACCGATTTTAGCGAGCCATATGACAAAATTCTAATTATTATATAGATAAATGACTAAAAAGAAAAATGGACATCCCGATGACATTTACCGATTTTAGCGAGCCATATGACAAAATTCTAATTATTATATAGATAAATGACTAAAAAGAAAAATGGACACTGTAAGACCAAATCCAAAATAGGGGTCTGATTAAAAAAAAAACTTTTTGCTTGTATAATGTGACCCGGTTTTGCTATGGAGCCAACTGTTGGCTCCATAGCAAAACCGTGATGCGACCATATTGAGTCGGATAAGAAAATTACAGCAAACATTCAAACCGACCAAGCATGAAGTTTTCTACTTGGCTCCATAGCAAAACCGTGATGCGACCATATTGAGTCGGATAAGAAAATTACAGCAAACATTCAAACCGACCAAGCATGAAGTTTTCTACCTAAAAAGTGGATGAGATAAATTGAAGTAGAACTGAAAAAGGTTGAACAATACAAAACATAATTATGATTTGAAAACTATAAAGATATCATATGTGGAATTTGAAAGGACTTAATGCAAGTATGCAAACAAGACATTTGCCGGTAGAGGTTTCCTTCATTGACTTCTTGGTACCAACCATTACAAAGAATGAGAAATTATCCACCGTTCGTGAATCGTGATAAATAGTTTTTCAATATAACAATCAAAATTGAGTTGCAGGTGGCTCCCATTGTGTTAATACTCATGTTAATGAATTATTGTTACCCAATCATACATTCTTATAGCATCAAAAGCATATCAATAACCCAACAGATTAAAAATGCTTTATACCAAAAATGTGGATAAAAAACAATTTGTGAACCATAAATCAATTTGAATTAGCATGGATATTGGTTTTGTTATTAGTCGATTTTTCCCAATGTAATAACTATTTGTAAAATATAAAAATTGATATTTATAGTAAACCCTATATTATTATTGAAAATTTTTGGAATAATAATATACATGGTGTTTTCTTTTTATATATGACTTTTTACTGAAGTACTTAGTGTGTGCTTTATTGAGCTTCATCTCCTCCTATTTATAGAAAC